TGGCTCCTCACTTTACCTGACTCCTAGTCTCATAGAGCTGATGGTGGATGAGATTCTCCCTAGGTTCTCGAGGACCCTAGACTGGGAATTTCCCACAAAAGGTTACCCTGATATGACTTGCCATTGATGAAGCTGTGCTGGTTTCTCGTGGTCACTGCTTCCCTTTCTAAATGCTCACAAACTATTCGCTTAATAATGTGGTGTAGAATTTCAAAGGACTTAAGTCAAAGTCACTGTTCTGTAGTTTGAAGATTCCACTCTCTTCAGTATTTTGAAAATTGGGATTTTCGTCTTGCTCTAGTCCTGAAGCACAGTAATGTCAAATTCAAACAAGAGGATCCTTACTGGCTGTTGCATACTGACTTGAAAACCTCAAATTAATATTATCCATGTTCTATTATATTTTAATTTGTTAAATATTGTCCAATTACATTTTAATCTGGAGCAGGCTCGATACCTCTCCTGTAGCACTTCTTCCATTCTCCAACATTTGGCTGATCACTGACAGTGGCTTAGCAATCACAATTCTAAGCAAAGGGTCAGGCACATTGACTGATTTGCCAAATATTTCAGTACCCTAAGTTGTAGTTTGTCTGGGTCTAATTACTTGTACTTGTTGAATTTAGCAAGATGCTGTTTGACTAATTGTTAGGAAGTCTCTCCTGACATCAAACCTAAATTTGTCTCTTTTCAACTACTATCCATTCCTTCTAGTTCCACCAAAGTTTTTATTTAATTCTATTAAATTTTATCTTATTCAATTCAGCCTAATGTTCTAGCTTTTCAAGACATTTTTGAATACCGTCTTTCATACGTTAGTTATCCCTCTCAGATTTGCATCATCTGCAAACATAAGCATACATTGGTATGCTTTTATCCAAGTAGGCATTGGATAATAAGGGGCTGAAATTCAGTGGAAAGATTAAGGCTAGATATATAGATATAGGAATCATCTGCATAGACATGATTATCTAACCCATGGGAGTAGGTGACAGCACCAAGAGAGAGACTAGAGAGAGAGAGAAAAGGACTCAGGTCTTGAGGGACATCCATGATAAAGGTACAAGATATGGATGGTGAGGCAACAGAGGAGACTGAAAAATACCAGTCAGATATATTGGACGACATCAGGAGAGAGTAGTATCACAAATCAAGGGAGGAGAAGAGTATCCAGTGTAGGGGGGAAAATCAACAGTGTCAAAAGCAGCAGAAAGGTCAAGGAGAACAAGCACTATAAAAGCACCATTGGATTGAACAGTGAAAAAGATCTTCGGTAACCTGGGAAAAAAGTTGCATCTGTATGGTTTTATAAGAAACCTGGCCATAAGGAGTTGAGAAATTAGTAAGTAGTGAGGAAGTAAAGGCAATTAATCACTATCAACAAGCATTTATTAAGTACTTACGTGCCAAGCACTGTACTAGGCAATGGGAATGGGGGGTGGTGGAGAGGAAAAAGCAGTCCCTGTCCTCAAGAACTTACATTTTAATGAAAGAAACAAAATGCACATAAATAGATATATACAAGATACATACAAAGCAAATACAAAGTGTTCTTGTAGGAGTAGGGTAAACACTAGCAACTGAGGAAAGGTAGCCAGGAAAAGGTGGCACTTGATCTGAGTCTGGAAGGAAACCACGGACTCCAAAAGGCAGAAGAAAGGAAGAGCATTCTAGGCATGGGAGACAGCCAGGGCAAAGAGATGGAAAAGGCACGTGAGAAAAAGCAAGCAGACCAGTACTGCTGGGCTGTAGAGTATGCAGAAGGGAATAATGTATAAGACTGGGAAGGTACGATGTGAAGAGCTTCAAATAACAAATAAAGATGAGTTTATAAGACGATCCTAGAGTTAATAGGGAGCCACTGGAGTTTATTGAGTGGGGAGTGAAAAGGTCAGACCTGTGCTTTGGGGAAAATCACTAGCAGTTGAGTGGAGGATGGACAGGAATTGGGAGAGACCTGGGTCAGAGAGGCCAATTAGTAGGCTATTGCAGTGGACTAGGCCAGAGGTGATGAGGGCCTGAATGTTTTGGTAACCATGAGAGTAAACAGAAGGGGACATTCAAGAGATGTTATGGAGATACACACAAACAGTATTTGGCAACTGTTTGTGTCTCTGCAGTATCTAAGTCTGACTAGTTGAGGAAAACACTGAAGTTGAAAACCTGGTTGAAGACCAGAATGATGGTGCCCGTGACATAAATAGGGAAATCTGGAAAAGGAGTGTTTTGAGAGGGAAAGATAATGAATTTTATTTGGGTATGTTGAGGTTGAGATGCCTATATTAAACCAGAGCTCAGAGAGAATAGGTCTGGAGATATATATATAATTAGAAAGAGATAGATCTCAAAATCATCTGCATAAATATGATAATTGAACTGATGAGAGCTTTGGGGTACACCTCAGCAAAGGAGACTGACGACCAATCAGAAAGTTAGGAGGAGACACCAAAGAAAGCAGTGTCATGAAAGCCCAGAGAGGAGAAGACGTAAAAGAAATGAAATGACTAACCGTATCAAATACTGCATCAAACTCAAAAAGGTTGAGGACTAAATTAAGAGATCGTGGATAACTTTGGAGAGAGCAGTTTTGATTGAGCGATGAGATTTGGGGGGCAGCTAGGTGGCACAGTGGATAGAGTACCAGCTCTGGAGTCAGGAGGACCTGAGTTCAAATCCAGACTCAGACATTTGACACATACTGGCTGTGTGACCATAGGTAAAGTCACTTAATCCAATTGCCTCTCCAAAAAAAAATGAGAGTTGAAGACAAGTTGCAGAAGCTATAGAAGTGAGTAGGGGGCCAGGAAGTATAGGTACCTACTAAAGACTGACTTTTCAAGTTTAGTGGAGGAGAGATATAGGACATAGCTAACATAGGATCAAGTAAGGTTTTCTGAAGGATAAGTGGAACATAGGGATGTTTGCTGGTAGCAGGAAAGAAGCCAGTAAATACAGAAACTGAATAAGGATGGTGCTAGGGGACAAGCTGTTGGGGAGCCAGGAGGGGTTAGGATCAAATAAGCATGAAGAAAGATTTGCCTTGACAAGGAGAAGGGCCATCTCTTCCTTTGAGGCATAGTAGGGGAAGACGTCTGAGTTACATAACAGGAGGGGAGAAGAAGCTCTCAGCAAAGGGCCTCCTTTTTTTTAGGGAAGTAAGGGTCAATCAAGGCCCTCAGCTGAGAAAGTAAAGGGGTGCTTAAAAAGAAAAAATCCAAGGTATCAACAACTATATAAAAAATGTTTCACATCACTAACAAGAGAAATACCAATTACAGTGACTCTCAGGTTCTACCTTACATTTGTCAGATTGGAAAAACAGCCAAAAAAGGAAAATGGAAATTGCTGGAGAGCTGTGGGACAGGCACACTGATGCAGTATTGGTGGAAATTATGAACTGGTCTAACCATTCTAGAAAGTAATCTGGAACTGTACTTTAAAAACTAGGCTTACACCCTATCACCTTCCACCCCTTTTCCCCCACCACACACACACATCAAGGAGATCCACAAAAGAGGGAAAGGACCTCTGTTACAAAAATACTTTAAAACATCACTTTTTGTTTTTAGCAAAGAGTGAGAAACAAGTGAGTACCCATCAATTGGGGAATGGCTGAGCAAATTATGGTATATCAATGTCATCATGTTATTATGCCTAAAGAAAGGGATGGATTCAGAGAAACCTGGGAAGATACAGAATAAAATAAAATACTGGGAACTAGGACAACAATTTATACAGTGACTATGACATTGTAAAGGAACACAACTCTGAAAGACTTAAGAACTCTGATCAATGAAATGAACAATAACAATTCTAGAAGATCAATGATGATGCCTCCCACCTCTTGACAAAGAGTTGATGGACTAGAGGTGCAGAATGGGATATATATTTCTGACCTGGCCAATATGTGGATCTGCTTTGCTTGACTATACTTATTTGTTACAAGGCAGGGCTTTATTTTTAAAGGGAGTTATGGAGGAAGAATGAGGTAGAAATATTGATGTCCAAAAAAAGAAAGAAAACAGTACTAAGTAAACATTTAGAAAATATATAGAAGAGAACAGGAAGTTCAGAGACAGAGCCAAGGAGGGCAGTATTGGAATTACTGACTCCAGTTAGTACAACTGCACAATACAAGTGTGTTAAATTTGTCATACTTAAAAAATGCAAGCTGTGGATAATTAGGAGTCATAATTTCAAAGCAATTCTCTTTATGTTCTTTGTATGTAGAAATGATCGTGTGTATTGATGTCTATCAAGGTCAATAAATAAAAGAGAATAGATGTGGTCAAGGGATATAAACAAACAAGTCTCAAAAGAATTCATTGTAAACTATTACCATGTGGAAGAATGCTACAAATCATTGGAAATGCAAATCAAATTCAGGCTGGGGTTTCACTTAGCACCAATCAAATTTGCAGAGATGACCAAAGAGTGGAATAATAAATGTTGGAGTGGCTGTAGAAAGACACACTAATGTACTACTGATGAAGCTGTGAACTGGTCCAATCATTCTGGAAAGTAATTTGAAATTATACTAAGAAACTGATTATAATATCCATACCCTTTGATCCAGAGATCCCACTAGTAGACATATACCACTAGGAAGTCAAAGATACGAAAAGTCCAAAATAATCCAAAATGTTAATAGCAGCACTTTTTTTGTGGTAGCAAAGACCTGGCAACAAGGTATATTATATAGAGAGAAGCATGGGAAGACGTGTGAACTAATGCAAGTGCAGTAGCAGAATCAGGAAAACAATGTGTGCAATAATTACAATGTAAATGGAAACAACAGTAACAAAAATGGAAACTGAAAACTACAGAATTATAATGACCAAACTTGCCCCCAAAGAATAGACATGAGTATCTGTCTCCTCCCTTTTTTGCAGATGTGCAGGGCTATGAAAGTAGAACATAGCATATACCGTCAATCTTGATTAAAGTGTTAAGTTTTGCTAAACTGCTCTTTTATGCTTTCTTTTTTATTCTGTTTCTAGGGAATGGCCCTCTGGGCAGGGGAAATGATGTTAAAACAAAACATATCAACAAAAAAATTTTTTTTTTTAAAGAATGAGGGACACCTGAGCAAAGAGATGGAAGATGAAAGGAATGGAATGATTGCTGTGGCAGGCTCCTAGAGGAGATAGGAAAGGAAGGAAGGGATTCAAAGATACAAGTAAAGGGGTTGTCCTTGTCAAGAAGTGTCTATCTCTTCCTCAGACTGGAACAAAGGAGAAGAGGAGGAGTGAAGATGTGGATGGGATTTGGAGGAATGGAGTAAGGCAGATTTTTGTAGTAAAGTAGAAGACAAGGTCATGCAATAAAAATCCATCAACAAGGATTACTCAAAAACATACTATGTGGCAGGCTCTCTGTTAAGACACTAGGGATGCAAGCACTATTAAACAATTCCTGCTCACAAGGAGTTGATATCCTAATGGGAAAGACAAGTACATGTATAAATATATGCAGCATAAAGATAAAGAGAATGCAAAAATACATTTTATATATGCATATTAATTAAAGGGTAGTGTGGAGAGAAGGTACTTACTAGCAACCAGGGGGAATCAGAAAAGCTTCATGTGAAGATAGTGCTTGGACTGAATCTTAAAGAAAGGGATGGAGGCAGAGGTGAGGAGGAAATGCATTTCAGGAATGGAGGAGAGCCAGTGTAAATGCACTGATCTGTGAGATGTAGTGTTTTATGTAAGAAACAGAGGTCAGTTGGCTGGATCACAGTGTAAGAGGGGAAAAAATGTAGAAAGAGGCTGCAAATATAGGTTGGAGCCATGTTGAAAAGAGCTTTAACAGTGAAATAAAAAATATTTTGTGCTAGAGACAACAAGAACCCACTGGAATTTACTGAGTAAGGGAGCTACATGGTCAAGACCTCTGAGTATAAGAAAAATCACTTTGGCAGGGAGCAGAGTATAGCAATCTGATTACGGGGATATCAGGACGCTGTTGCAGTAATCCAAATGAGAGGTGCTGAGGACCTGAACTAAGTAGTAGCTATAACATCAACAGAGAGAAGGGGTGAGTTGAAAGTGACCTGGTTGAGGTAGAGATGGCAAGACTTGCCAATTGATTGGCTCTGTGAGATAAGGGGGTATGAGGAGTTGAGGATAATGCCAGAGTTATGAACTTGGAAGACTGAAAGTATGGTGGTACCTTCTCCAGAAAAAGGGAAGTTTGGAGGAGGGGGAAAGATAACGAGTTGTTTCAGACATGCTGAGATTGAGATGTCCCTGGGAAATCATGTTTGAAATTTCTAATTGGCAACTGGTGATGCAGAACTGAAGCTCGGTGAAGAGAGAAGCAAATCTGCGAGTCATCTGCATAGAGATAACTAAATAACGAAACCCACGGTTGCTTATGTCACTGCAAGAGAAAAGGGCCTAAAACTGAGCTCTGGGTAACACCCATAGTTAGGGTATAGGAAAACCACCGAGAAGGAAAGGACATAGGTTCTGGGGTCAGATGACACAATCTGTTATCTCAAGAGTGTGGGGCAGACCTACACTGGAGATGAATTTCATTTAGTGATAGGACTTGTGAGCCAGTCTGAAATGCTAGAATCCCTACCTTGCTTTGTCACTGAGGTCCCTAGCCCAGTTCTCAGTTGAGTCAGGTTTAAGTTACTTCCTGGTGAGTCACTCAAAAAGCATTTATTAAGCACTAACCAAGTGCAAGTGCTTGCAACACAAAGAAAGTTCCATAGGTTCCCAACATTTGGAACGATTGGGGGGGCGAGGGGGCGGTAGCAGCCTCAGGTACACCAGGGAGGTGTTGAATAAAAATAAGGGTTAACCTAACCTAACCCCAGGGGGGCACTGAGTAATTTTTTTTAAAAGGGGGAGGTAGGCCAATCAGTTTGGGAACCTCTGGGCCATAAACAGTCCAGGCCCTAAAAGAGCTTCCAGTCCAATGAGGGAGACAACATGCAAACAGGTACCTATGAGACACCTCCAAGGGGCAGCTAGGTGGCAGTGGATAGAGCTCCGGCCTTGCAGTCAGGAGGACCTGAGTTCAAATTTGGTCTCAGACACATAACACTCACTAGCTGTGTAACCCTGGGCAAGTCACTTAACCCCACTGCCTTAAAAAAAAAAAGAAAGAAAGAAAGAAAAAGAGATATCTCCAGAATAGAGGGTAATTTTAGAGGGGCAAACCTCTGAGAACTGAAGAAGGGCAGAAGGTAGGGAAACAAAGAGCAATATCTATCTCAGTGGAATGTAGTAGTATGTTTTATGTTCCCTTTAATTTCACATTTTTGAAAACTCATGATCACTATGCTGTGTGTGCAGATCACGTGGGTGAGAAATTTAAAAATCATTGTCTCAAGGTACAGGAGCAGATCGAAGATAATTATAGCAATAAGTAACTTATTAATTCTAGAGATGTCAACTCCAGAAGCTGCAACATAGCCAGATGCAAAAGTAGTTGGCTGTCAGTAGGTGGAATGGACTGGTCTAGCAGCAGAGCAGGTCCAATAAGGAATGTTGCAGGCTACAGAAAGCTTGATAATCTTGCATAACCAAGACAAGGGAAAGAACAGTTCGAGTAAAGTGCCACCTGGCGGCTACCCCAGAAAATGTACTCCTTGCCTGGATTTTAACCAATGATGTCTTCCTGATTTGTAAAGGAAGCAGTATCAGCTAGTCAAACCAAACAAAAATATCACAGGTGTCATTTGCAAACGTTAAGGCCCTACATAAATGCCACTTATTATCATTCTAAAGGCAGTCTGTCCACATTCGGGCAGGTAGATGGTGCAGTGGATGGAGTGCCAACCCTGGACTAAACAACAAATTAGAAAGTTTTTCCTTACATAAAGCCTAAATTTGCATCTCCTTCCCTGCCCCTCCCCACTCTAACTACTCCTAATTCTGCCCTAGAGTCCAAGAGAATAGATCTATAACAAGCCCCAGCATGCCACTCTACATTCTGGAGAACTGAGAGTATGAGAGACATAAGAGATGATAGGGAGTTCTGGCGAGGCAGAGCATCTAGATCAATAAATCCTCGGGGCAGGAGTTTCCCCAGGGCTGGACTGAACTGCCTGGCACTAGGTTCTTAGCCCTCAGCCTCAAATTGCAGGGCATGAGACATACCCAAGGATAGCAAAAATGAACCCAGAGTCAGCACATGTCCAAATCTCTGAGCTTCTCTAGAAAGAACCTTTGTCAACCCTCAGGTTGGGATCTCTAGTGTGAGTCCCCTTGCTTATATGTTCTCTACTGTCTAGAGATCCCTACGTCTCAGGATGTTCCCAAGATTCCAGAAACTAGAGTATTCTGAGGCTCCAGTTTTTTTTATTAAACTGCCTGGGAACTCCAATGGATGAATGAATCCCTGACTCTACAGACCCTCTAGAGTAAGGTTCTAATTTTTAGCTCCATCCCTAACCTTGGGCAATTTCCTCCCCCTCACTAGGGAAGTTTCTTCCTCTGACAATACAGTTCAGCTCTATCATCTCTAGGCAAAATGGTGACATTTATTCCCTTCTCCTCAGGGATTAAAATTAGGGAACCCTGGGAACCAGCCAAGTCAGAAGACCTCACCCTCTCTTTTCTTCCTCCAACTTCCAGTAGGAATTACAAAGCCATGGCTCTATTTGGGAGGATTTTATAAAAGAGTCAGGATTTTCTGCTGTCACTTTCTAGGTGGGGCCAGGATAGGTAGAAGAATCTACAGGGCTCAGGGCTTTGGCATGGGAGAAATATTCAGGTAAATGCAGTAGGTGTGACACTGGCCATCTTGAAGTTGTACAGAGGGTGATTTCAGCTCACCGTAATGGAAAACTTCCTAATAATCAGTGGAATGAACTACCTTGGGAGGTAGTGGGTCCCTTTTCCCTAAATAGAGGCTAGAAGTCAGTGAGCTTATACAGGCTATTCTAGTTCAGGTACCAAGTGGATTAAAGTTCCTCTAAGGTCCCTTCCAGTTTTGAGATTCTGTGATTTTTGTGTCAGGCTAATAGTAGATCATATTTTGGGGATATAACACACCTATATAATCAGACCCACTAAGTAGTGACAGTCCTGCGACATCTCCGAAGACATCCATTCTATTTTGGGACAGCTCTTAACAAATGGGAAAATTTTCCTTGTGACATTTCCATCCCTCCCTTTTAGTTCTGCCCTCTGGAGCCAATCAGAACAATGAGCTCCTTCTTCTAAATGCCAGCCCCAAAATCAGTCCTCTCATCTCATCTCCATCCCCATCCCTGGTGACTTGAACTAATCTGTGTAAAGATCTCTTCTCCATTCTGGTCACCCTCCTGTGCACACACTTCCCAAAATTTAGTGCCCAGAATGGAATACCACAGTCCATATATAGTCTGACTAGGGCAGAGAACACTGGAATCATCACCTCTCTTTTTCTTGAAAATATGCTAGTATTAGTATAGGCTAAAATTGAGTTAGCTTTTTGTTATGTTGCATGACCCACTCATATTCTATAGAAACCTCATTCCATATGTTGTCATAAATGCCAGATTTTTTTCACACGGACTGTTGAACTGGTCCCATCACTTATTCAGTTGTTTGTTTTGTTTTGTTTTTTTGTTTTTTGGTTGGGCAATGGGGGTTAAGTGACTTGCCCAGGGTCACACAACTAGTAAGCTAGTGTTATGTGTCTGAGGCCGGATTTGAACTCAAGTCCTCCTGACTCCAGGGCCGGTGCTTTATCCATTGTGCCACCTCGCTGCCCCCCCATATAGTTGTTTTAACCCAAATACATGACTTGACATTTCATCTCAATTTAATTTCACCTTAGGCCACCTTGTTCTACTCAATCTTTTTAAGATTCTGTGATCCAAAGTGTTTGCTCTCCCAGCTTCCCCATCATCTGATCTGCATTCCACCTAAGCTTTTATCCTGATCACTGATAAAAGGAAAGGCCAGATTGCTGGGAAACTCTAGAGAAAGTACTCTCTCTCCTCTCTCTTTCTTTCCCCCTTTCTCATTGACATCTACTCATTAACTACTATTCTGAATAAGAGCATTCAACCACTTTCAAATATGACTAAATCTACAATCATTTAGCCCACATCTCACCATCCTCTACAAAAATAGAACAAGAGACTGTCACATGTACTATCTTTACAGTATTTTCCTGAGCAGTCAGTAGCCCAGTCAAAAAAAGGAAATGGCCTTTTCTTGATGAAGCCAGGTTGGTTCTTTAGTGCTCACTGCTTTTCCCCTCACTGATTAATCTATGTTAGCCTGGAATGAAGGCAGAACTGGCCCTTACAGGGGAAATTAGCACCATATACCTTGAGCAGAAGTGCTCACACAGGTGAAGGTGGAGGGAAAGCTAGTCAGGCCACATATTCAACCCTCCACCAACCCACTGTCCTCTTCCCCTTCTACTGCATTCTGCACAATCCCCACATTCATTTGCCTCCAACCCCTCCCTTCCCCTTTCTGTCTCCACTGAAAATTCCACGAAGCTGGGGTCACTTTGGACATTGCTTTAATGACAGACTTGGTCACATGGGCAGAATCATTAAAAAGTCACTATCAAGACCAGTCCTAGAAAGAGAACTCCAATCCCTCCTCCTTGGGCTGGGGACAGAGCCATTCAAGGCCCACACATTCTGAGGTCAGTGGGGAAATGAGGGTCGGGGGAGGACAGAAACCCAAGGATGACAACATCCTCATACCAAAAGGGGAAGGGAGCCAGGAGAAACCAAACCCATAAGGCCAAGACTGTATTGTTCCTCCCCCATATGGACAAATGCCCTAGGGTAGGAGACAGTAGATATGGTGACAACCCCTATAGGAACAGGATGGCTCTTTCCCCCTTTCATAGGGATGAACTAAAGGTAGAAAAGAGAGGACAGGAACTCCAAGGGGGCAAACCCGAGAGGGACGAGAGAACTTCTGTACTCCCAAACAATTGGGACGGAATCAGTAGAATCAAAGCCCTCAGATAAAGGACAAGTCTTTCGTAAAGTGCCACGGAGATAGCTGCAATTCAGCTGTTGGAGCAGGGATCACCCTGCCCTGTCCCTTAAAGTTCCTGGAGTTTCCCCAACACAAGGCCATGTCTGGGGCTTAGGAGGTCGGCTGGGCCTCATAGTTGAGCACGTAGTAGTCATGGACATACATAAGCACAGCCACAGGCTGCCCGATGATCAAAGACAACCACACTGCTGCATTGCCATAGTTCCCCTGAAGGAATCGGCCCACGACCCAGGCTAGAGGGATCTGGGGACACATGGAATAGGTCAATTCTATCCTTGACCCCAAAATACAAGGGCTGGGTGCTACAGATCAGGGCATGAAAGGAGGGATGAAAGGAGGGGCTGAGGGAGAGCCTGAGAGGCAGGAGGAGATCTGGTGAGGAGGCCATGGGAGTAGATGATGGAAATTTTTAGGGTATCTCACCTGTGCCATCATGCCGGTGAAGGCCCAAGGCCGGAACATCCTGAGGGGGACACTCACAAGGTACTAGGTAGAAGGGAGGTAAGGAAATGGATTATAGGTCAGCTCTGAAGTCCCTTCCCACAAGGCTGAAGGAGCATGACCCTGGTCATGAAACATGATTGGAGACCCAGAGTGTCCCCATTCTTTTCTATGTCTCTTCTGGGTAAACGAACCTCGTGAAAGAAGGCTGAAGCCAGGAACACACCAATCTTAGCCATCCACTTATTGACCCCCATCTTCATTACTGGCTTATAGAAGTGTCTGACAAGGAGGAGAAAGAGTTATTCCCTGGATCTCAGGTTCAGTCACAAGACAAAATAAATCTTCTGTTTTGCCCATTACCCTGTCCTCCCATATATAGAGCCCAGAGAAAATACCTCCCCCAAAACCTGCCCCCCTGATCCCCACCTGAGGCACCATTTGTGGACAGGAATATTCCAGTTCTGCCAAAAGTAAGTGACTGACTCTGAGTTCCTGTGGAAGCACAGCATTGTCAGGTGCCATTCCCTGAGCAGCAACCCCCAGCCCCCAACTCCAACCTCCTAACACTT